ACTGCCTTGTTCTGGCATTAAATAAGATTCACCTACAAATACAGGAATTACTTGAAGGAACATCCTGCCCCATATGATTAACACATATGTTTCTAACAAAATAACAGGTTTTGTTTATACTAGTTACCAAAATGGGCTATACATTTTATGTGCATTTTGATAAATTATATACCTTAATCATACTATTGATAACCCAATTAAGCAGACATATTTCTTAACATTTATAATCACGGGAAGCAAGAAATAATAATTTTATAACTATTTTTTATTGTGAAGAAACATGATAAAGTGGCTATGAGAAGAATTTCAAGCTAAAAATATTAGGAGAAAATTCTGCGGAGGTGGTGAACTGGTAAATAGAAATAAAATTTCACAAAGAAAAAAGTGATTCAAAATTTATCATTATTGAAGAAAAGCCTTTTCAGGTTTTTGTCTTTTTTTCCAACATGGATGAGATTAGATCTCAAGTTACTAGTAATTAGATACAATTGGAAATATTTAAAACGCTGGTATAACAGTTTTATCTTTAAACATCAGTAGTTACAATGTGTCAAAAAGGCCAAGAATTTCCCATCCTCCCACCAGAATGAATCAAAGAAAAGAGTCAAAAAAACACACAATGCTTGGCAACCTGACACACAGCAGTGCGGTTTGGTGAATTTGAAAAGACAATGAATTCAAATACTCTCTCTGCAATGAACATCTGCATAATTGCAGGCAATTACTTAAATACTCCGAAACTCATTTTCCTTGTGTGAAAATGGAGATTATGGTACTTGCCTCATAAAGTTTTATGGACTGTTAAGAAAAAAAATACCCACGCTATAGTAGCTGTACTGTAATTATGAGTTTCTTCTCTCCCAATTTGGGGACTGCCCATACTCTTTGTTGTGAGAAACAAAAGACTAACCGAATTCCTCTAAGTTCCCATTTATAGCCTTAAATTTCTTTAAGGTTGCTGAGAATTATGTCGACATGTTTTGCACTTTTTTATGGGAGACGCATATATGAGCGTAAATGAATATATCACTGCCACAGCCAAAGGATCTTTTAAATGTAATTCTTTATTGAAAGACACATATAGAAAGGAGCCCACCTTGTAACTGTCTTCATAAATTCCCGCTAAGTGAAGATAACAGTGTAAACAGGCGGTAAATAAATGACAAGCAACAGGATATACTGGAGTGTATGAGGAAGCCCATTTGGGTTAAAACTTATTTGGCCCGACCTTGTTTTTCCAAAAGGGGCTGACATGACCGTTGAGCATGCATGCCCCAAAAACAAGAACGATGCCCCCACATTGGCATTTTTTTAAGAATAAGCATCTCTCCCTAAACTAAGGATTGATTGCTGACCTGCCACACTCAACTTATGACTGTCCAGCTTGTGACAACCAGCCTGGCATGTTCATCGAATTGCTATGCCAGCAAAGCCATCTTGTGACTACTGTAAAAGGGACATTCCAATCATGTGACTCTTGGTCTTTGATGGTCTGCAACCACTTTGTACGCCCTATTTCTTTGGAGTGCTCCATTCCTTTGTGGAAGGACTCTCCTGGGCTATATGCTCCTCTGGGCTGGATCATAATAAACTCAACCCAATTTTGATTGATAGGTTGGTTATAGATTATCTGGATTGACACAACACACAGAGCATCAAATTGCCAAAAGTATTGGTTTTTCATTTTCCCTTTAATAGCTGTAGGATTTCCAGCGATGTCTCTCCTTTGGTCCTGATAGTGATCATTTTGCACACTCTCATTCTCTAACTGAGTGATCTCCATAAGATTTTTCAAGAGGAAACGTATTTCTTAACAGGAGAAAATTCAGTGGGGAAAATGGAGATGGAAATAGGAGATTTGAGAGAGACTACATGAATTTTGGTCTCTTAAAAAAGAGTTTGTTCAGGCATGTATTACATAGCCAAGGAGGTGTGTCCAAACCTTATGGCATTTAGGGCTGGCCCCGTGGCTGAGTGGTTAAGATTGTGTGTTCCACTTTGACAGCCCAGGGTTTCGCCAGCTTGGATCCTGGGTGTGGACATGGCATTGCTCACCAAGCCATGTTGAGGCAGCGTCCCACACAGCACAACTAGAAGGACCTACAGCTAGAACATACAACTATGTACTGGAGGGCTTTGGAGAGAAGAAGAAAAAAAAAAGAAGAAGAAGAAGATTGGCAGCAGATGTTAGCTCAGGGCCAATCTTAAACAACAACAACAACAAAAAACTTTATGGCATTGAAACGGAATTAAATGCATTTTAAAGAGTAATATAATGGTTTTATTTATTTATTTTATTATTTTTTCGTGAGGAATATTGTCACTGAGCTAACATCTGTGCCAATCTTCCTCTATTTTAGGTAAGATGTTGCCACAGTGTGGCTTCACGATTGGTACCAGGTCTGTGTCCGGGATCCAAACTGCAAACCCCAGGCTGCCGAAGTGGAGTGTGCAAACTTAGGCAGTATGTCAGTAGTCTGGCCCCAAAAGTTTTATTTTTAAATATCCATGTTTACAAAAGCAATGTCCATCGCAATTTAAACCCCCAAGGAGAAACCTACAGGTCAATTTGTAGAAGGAAAAGATATCATAATGACTGAGAACACTGAGATATCTGTAATGAAGAAACAACTATGTATTCTTTTCTTTTTTTTTTTTTTTTTTTTTGAGGAAGAGTAGCCCTGAGCTAACATCTGCTGCCAATCCTCCTATTTTTGCTGAGGAAGACTGGCCCTGAGCTAACATCTGTGCCCATCTTCCTCTACTTTATATGTGGGACGCCTACCACAGCATGGTGTGCCAAGCGGTGCCATGTCCGCACCCGGGATCCGAACCGGCAAAACCTGGGCCACTGAAATGGAACATGTGAACTTAACTGCTGTGCCACCGGGCTGGCCCGTGTCTTCTTTTCCAAAACATAATAATGATTAAAATGTAATCCTCTGAGATCAAGGAGCAAATTTCCATACTTAACAAATGTGAAACTCTTATGGTTATTACAATGTCAATAATACCTGTGTGGAATTTACATCATAAATACATTGCTGATGCCTATCATTAACTTTATGAGGAGGATTGATTATCTACATTTGCAGGTGAGATGCCACAGGGTTACCAACAGGTGACTTTCCTCACAGATGGGGTAAGTTTGGGCTTAGGGCTTAGTTTACTCAGTAAAGCTGGCCAATTCATTTCTCACAAGCAAGAAATAAGCCTGTTGTCCCACCCAGACAAAGATCCTTAGAAGCAAGAACACACTCTTATCAGTTCATGAGCACTTAACTTCCAGGATTTACCTATGAACTTGAATTACAAAACGTAGTAGCGGCATTGAGGATGGTTGAGCTGAAGTACTCGATGTCTAATGCCCAAAACCGTTGGCTCAAAAACATTGCTCTGATGTCTACTTCAAGAATGGACAAGTAAGCTGCCACCAGACCTATCTTCCCAAAGACGACTATAACCTCTACAGGAAATACAAAAAGGAAGTAGTGATGGCTCTGAACAGTGAACAGAGACAGACAGATTCTAGAGGAGAGTCAATATTTGGGAGAATGGACCAACGTGGCACGAGGAGTCAGTTTTCAAGGTGTTTAATCTGAGAGTCATCTGCAGATGACACCACAAGGGACCGCTAAAACTCAGACAATCTGCAGTTACTGTTGCATGAAGGATTAGAGGACAGAGTTCAACACAGCCACGACTGCTGAAAAGGGAGGTGAAAAATCAGAGAAAGGAAAGAACCTGAGAGGGAGGGTGGCCAACCCTGTATATAAACTTTGCTCCAATCTGTGTCTGACATCTGAACCACACACCTGAAGGGCAAACACAAAACTACCAGCTAAAGATAAACCATCTGAACTGAGATTGGAGCCGCTATCTAGTAGCCGAGATTACAATTTGAGTCCAACCAAGTTTATTGCCTGCTAAAACACTCTTTGGAAGAACATAACAGAAACCAGAATCCCTGTGCATGATATTCATCATGTCCAAAATAGAGCCCAAAATTCCTCAATCTATGGAGAGTTGGAAAAATGTGACCCATTCTTAAGAATAAAACAAACAAATAAAAATATCGACAGAAACCAACTCCAAGATGATCTACAAGGACATTGAGGCAACTACTCTCACAATGTTCAATGAGATAAAAAAAAGTGTGTTCATAATAAATAAAAAGATAGTGACTCTCAAGAGAGAAATAGTAATGATAAAAATGAACTAAATGTAAATTCTAGAATTAAAATGTAGACTTTAAACAAAAATTTACAGTATGTGCCTAAGAACTAAACAGAGTACAAAGGGGAGAGAGTTAACGACTTGAAAATAGATCAACAGAAATTATCCAATTTTAAGATCAGGAAAAAAGAATAAAATTAAATTAAGTCTCAGGGAGTTCTAAGGCGACATCAAATGTTTACATTAGAGTTACAGAGGAGAAGGAGAGAGAATAAGATAGAAAATTATTTGGAAAAAAATTCCAAAATTGTGTGAAAGATATAAATTTACAGATTTGAAAAGCTGAGCACACCCCAAGTAGGACATATATGAAGAAAAACCCATGTAGGCATATAAATAGACAAAAATAGACACACTGATGAAAACAAAAAGCTAAAATAATAATAGACAAAATGCTAAAAACCAAACAGAAAAAAAAAAAATCTTGAAAGTAGCCCAAGAAAAATGACACATGAGGTAAAAAGGAATATCAATTCAAATGAATGTCGCATCCTCTTGGAAAATACAGAGGCCAGGACACATGAGTCAACATCTTGTAAAAATCAACATGTAAACCTGGAACTGGTGAAAATGTCTTTCAAGAATAAAGAGGGATAACATTTTCAGATATATATATATTTTTTAATTAAAGCTAAGGGAATTCATCATCTAAAGACCTGCACTGTGAAAATGCTAACGTAATGTCTTTAGTCTGAAGGGAAATGATGCCAGATGAAAGCACAAATCCCCAGAAAGGTATGAAGAACACGAGAAAACAGTAAATATTGAGGTGAACGTAAAAAACTATTTTTTTATCCTGATTGCTGTAACATACACAGGACTTGTACAAAGCAAAATTATTATACTCTCTGGTGGCTTGACAACATACATAGACATAATACATGTAACACCTACAGCATAAAGAACAATGGAGTGTTTTAAATAAACCTATGGAGTACCAACGTTTCTCTATTTTATGTGAAGTGATACAATATTAACTCTAATTAGACCACAATAAGCTAAACTTTTACTTTATAATTCCTAGATCTACCGCTAAAAAAAATGCAAAGAGGAATAGCAAAAAGACAAAAGATAGAAGAATATTCCAACAGAAAAAAATCAGTGAGCCCAAAGAAAACAGAAAAGTAGCAAGAGATGGGGCACAATTGAAAGACCAAAATCCAACCAGATCAAATATCACACTAAACGTTAATGGACAAAACATTCCAGTTAATACCAGGGATTACCAGAATGGATAAAAAAGCAAGACCCAATTATATGATGTCGAGGAGTATAAAGCCACATAGAGGTTAAAGTGAAGGGGAAAAAACGTACATTATTCAAATATTAAGCATAGAAAGGCTGAAGTGGCTATGCTCATTTCAGCTTAACTAGACTTCAAGAGAAACAGTATTACCAGATATAAACAGGTAAGTTGCCTAATGATCAAAGGTTGGATTCATCAGGAATAGAAACCAATTTTTTACAAAGCTTCTAATACCAGGGCTTCAAAATACATGAAAGCAGAATTAAACAAAGGAACATAAAATTCCACAATAATAGTTTTCCGTGTTGTTAATCATTTCACTGCCATTGTTGAATAACTTAGGTACGTAACTCTGGGTTGATAGTTTTCTCCCAATGGTTTGAAAAGATGACTGTATTGTCTTGTGGTTTCCCTTGGAGCTGCTACCAAGCCAACATTAGTTTAATTATTTTTTAATTAGTTAGTTTTAATTAGTTTAGTTTTAATTAGATTAGTTTTTATTTTGCACTCTGTTCCCCTGTGATAATTCAAGTTGTGAATTTGTTTCTGTTTATCTTGCTTAGAATTACGGTGCTTCCTGAAAGTTTTTCATCAACTAAAATCTTTTTCAGCCATTTTTGTCTGTTTTGCTTTAAAAATTGACATCTTCTCCATTCTTCCTATTCCATACTTCAGGGAATATAATTAATTGTGATTGAGAATTATAACATTCATAATAATATATCGAGGGCTTCTTGTCCAATAGGCAATTTCACATGAATGAATGCATGCAATGCTCACAGCTACTCTGTGAAATAGACTCTGGTTTTCTCCATTTTACACATGAAAAAACCAAGACACAGAAATTTGCCCCCAATCACATGGATAGCAGGAGGCAGGGTGAAGACCCATAGCCAGCCACTTTGTCTCAAAACCCAATGTTTGCTAGACAGAAAAAGAAGAAAAGAAGAAAAAAGAGGAAATCAAGGAGTCAGGATCCACAAGTACAACCTTCTAACATAACCATGTAAAAACAATGACATTGGACCTGCTACTTTTAATTATCTTTTAGGAACTGCAGATCCACAAGAATCTGCAGAAGGTCACCTTGGTCTATTTTTTTCCTCGAACAATGACACAATTATACAAAAACATGATGAAATAAATGCTCCACTTCAGGCCCATTGCTGTATGGTTTCACTTTCATTTCACTGAGCTCCTGGACATGACTTGAAGAGACAACTGAGATCTGAAGCTTAAAACAATGGTGGAGGGCATCATTTTTTGATCCCCAATGGAATGAATGAGTTAGCTGAGCCTTGCTCCTATGACCTTGGCAATCGTATGTTGGTGGTTGGTAACAAGTAGTCCCTTTCTGCTCACCAAGCAGTGGATAGGATGTCATCTTCCTTGTCGCACCCACAAAAGGGGAAAGTCCCACAGCAGGGCTGCAGCCATGGCTTCCAAATGGTGTTGAACACAGACAACTGCTGCGGGACAGGTGTGAGCGTCCTTCGATGCTCTTTTATGGCTGCCTCGATTTTCTTGACCACGGAGTCAAACAACACTTCATTGTCAGGGTTAAGAGGCTGGGATTCAGAAGGGTCTCTTGAGATGTCGAAGAGCAGTGGAGGGTCGTGGTAGGTGACATCTCCAGTACATGAACACATGCCACTTCCGTAGCAGGCACCAGCTCCCTCTGGGGAAAATTTGGGAGTCACATAATGAACCTTCCACACAGTTGCACCTGGAAAACAGAGCTCCGTTGGAATGCCATATTTGTTACTATGTTAAGACTCTTTCCATTAAAAACATATTTCTCAGATGCTTTTGCTAACAATTGAAAATCTTCTGCACAGAATTACATAGCAATAACAGCATTTCCTCAACTGTAAGGACAACGCACGATTTTACTGCAACCTTGTGGACTTTCTTTTTGACTTAACATGAGAGCATTTGGAGACTAATAGTTATTGAAATGGCTGCTATAATCATGGAAATTTTAATTCAAGTTGCTACCTTGATCTGACTTGGCATAGGCAAAATGGAAAAATTTTTAAGGCTGTATATCACTTTCAGGTGTGAAATTGGCAAAAGTCATTTGGCAAGATCAACCATTCTTTGTTCTTTTACTCCTCCTTCCCTTCCTCTTCCTTCCTTCCTTCCGTCCTTCCGTCCTTCTTCCTTCCTTCCTTCCTTTTCTTTCTTTCCGTATGAGCAATTAGCAATTCTATTTCCAGAGGTCAGTTTTAGACAGAAAACATCACAAGCATTTGCCAACCTCTGGTCAATGAGGTTTATGCAGAAGTCCACTGGTGTGGTCTTGCAGAAAAGCTGTGCTTTCCTAAAAGATTGGATTAAATGATCTGATTGGATCCTTCACCTCCTTTGCCCTTCCTCGTCCTTTCTGTGTGGAGTACTGAAGCGATGCCTGGAAAAACAGCAGCCATTTTGCAACCATGGGGTTAGAAGCCTATGAAAGCTGATGTGCCAGAGATGGCCAAGTGGAAACAGCAAAGGAGCCCAGGTCCCTGATCATGGTGTTGACCACTGTACCAGCCCTGTGCTTCCACCTTCTGGAAGTCTTATTATGAAAATATAAGTAAATTCTATTTGTTTAACCTTCTATAGTTAAATTTGAGAGGCTTTTGTTGTTTGCTGTGCTGTTTCCTTTTGTTTCTTACCATTGAACGCATCTCTAACTGATACAGAAGCTAAAAGGAAGAGATTTTTGTTTGCTTGTTTTTGGTTTATGGGGGAGACATCCATATTGGCATGGAGAATGGCTCGCCCTACAAGTGATGGATTGCATGGGACACCTTGCAAACTAAGTCAAGTCCAATCAAGAATTCTAGAACGTTATCTAAATGCCCCTGAAAGAGCTTTCTTTACAGATGTAAGGAAATCATTACCATTTGCTAATTTATATTTGTTTACACGAATCCTATAGTGTGAAGGTGGGACAGAGACAATGAACGGAGGCAGTTAGTGACTGATGTGTGCGTTAGACTGAAGTTTACAAGTGTTGCTAACTACTTGAGTGAACTTAGCTGTGAATATTCATTTTCTCCCTCTTTCTCTCTCTGACTTATTCATACACATGAGCCTACACACACACACACACACACACCCCCATTGAAAATCCTACTGTAGTGCAACGGCTGCTTAAGTAACTTTCCTAAGGAAAAATAACGCCACAATTGAGTGTTATTTGCACCGGGTGTAAATTCCCCCAAGAGAAAAAGGAGATGGGAGTGTGTCCTTATTGTGTTCCTACGTATCCGCCAACATTGTACTCACAGTCTTTCTGATGCCACCTGGCTGTGTGCAGGTAGACCCCACAGTAGTGGAAGAGGAACTCATGGTCCGAGTGGGAGACCCTGCCTTCCAGCAGGGGCATTAGGTTCCGGCCGTCAATCACTCTTAGGAGAGAAGGAGAAAGGCAGAAAGTGGTGAGAGAGGTATGGTTTAGTCACATATGTCATAACAGAGACGGAGGAGAAGGTGGCAGAGGAGCAGGGGGAGGAGGAAGAAGAAGAAGAAGAAGAAAAAGGTGAAGAGAAAGAGGAGGAGAAACGACTTTTTAAAACTTTCTATGCATCTTCACTCATAAAAAAAAAGAAAAAGAAATAAAACCTACTATACATTTTCTAAGACAATGGGAGGGTGAGCAGCTGGAACTATGATACCGATACCCTGCAAGACACTAGGAATGAGTGTCATGGATTAGAAAATTGAGCTCTTCCCACTCATTCGATTCAAGGAAAACTCAACTGCAGACAAAAACCGCCCCCCCCCCCAACACACACACACACACACACGGAATTAAACGCTTAGAGCGTGTAACGCATTTATTGATTTTAAACCCCATATACAAATATGGCATAATTCATCACAGGTCCATTGACGCACACTTAGGTTTATTCAGTAATTCACTTAATAAATATTTGTTTAATGGTCTAGATGCCATGAGGGATATAAAAATGAATGACAGTCAGATCCCACCCATGAGGACAAGCAAGCCCATGCCTGGATAAGTATCATATGAGAGAGAAAATAACACATGTTCTGAGAGAGACAGACAAGCCTTCCGCCATGAACTAAGGAGAAAGCCGTCTGGTCGTCTTGGCAAAATATTGAAAATTAAGCAATACGCTTCCCGCACACGTACAAAATTATCTAACATATCCACATGCCTGTCCAATATCTCCCCAGATTAGGAGCAAGCACAGCTTCCATACCTGTCCTGGGGCGGGATCCCTCCGCCGATATAAGACAGCGTTGGGTAAATGTCCATCAGACTCGTGGGCTCGTCAATCACCTTGCCAGCCTCCAGGACGGTCGGCCACCGGAATATTCCCGGGACGCGGATCCCGCCTTCCCATCCTCCCATCCCTTTGCCACCTGCAACCAGAGATGAATTCAACTCAACCACATCATTCTCCACGGAGTCGGAAATCAAATCTAGAGGCAACATTTTTTTGCTTGCCACATCCATACCCCATTCACGGAGAGAGAAACGCAAATAACCATGAGATATACTTCCTGCCTTCCTCCTTGAAGTGACAACTCTAGTTGTGAACATCTAGCACTCAAGTGAGAAGCCAGTAATAATAAATCAGAACAAGTGCTGTCCTAATACGGTACATTATTATGTGTCAACGAATGCCATGGACTTTCAGTTGCGAGAGAGAAGAGAACATCCCGTCAGCGGGCAAATCTTCGATCTTTATTGGGATCAGATTGGGCTCGAAAAGATGGAAAAGTAAATGAAGTTCAAACCAAGGCTAGAAAACAGGTTCTACCTTGGTTATGGTGATCCTTGAGAGATGAAGTAAGGCATTTGGACTTTATCCAGTGATCTCCCATATGGAAGAAGGAAGAGGTGAATATAGACAGGTCAACAGGGCAGAGGAGGAAAAAGCATTGAGAATCACTTCTTAAAGGACGCTTTGGGTGTGTCTGAGTACAAAACAGATGATGAATGCCCACGGTTTAGGAACAAACCTGAGATCAAGATGTTCATCGCAGGATAGAAATATGGCGCCAAATGAAATGACACAGTCAAGATCATTGACTTAAGGAAAAAACTGAGACTTTCTGGGAGGAGTGGAAAAAACTCTTCCAAAGTTGAATGATATGAGATGTCCATTGAACATCTGACAGTATGAATTACAAAGAAAGCACAAGGCAGGCTCTCTCTGGATGAAAGTGAGGGACATTAAATGGGGAAACACTTAGGTCCAAAGACTCTGATCTAACCACTGCCCAAAGCCACCTGGGTCCCCAGCGCCATCATTTATGGAAAACTTAACAAGCTCCATGAACCAAATTTGTGTTTTCTTTGTCGACAAGTAACAGACAAACAAGAAAGCATAAACCCACCCTGACATTTTCTTGATCGTATATAATAACAGGTAACTGTGTGAGGCGTAACTGGAACAAAACTAATCGTCAATGCAGGACACGTGAATTTATCTGTCAAATGGACTCAGCCCCCCATGAGAGGTACATCGGTGAGCTGGAGATTCGTTCTAGGGTAAAAGCAATTTTTCCACACCTCCTTCAGAGTTGCGTGAAGGCCCTTTTTAGAACAATGGTTTTACACACACACAAGCAGGGTCACTATTCTAATAATCATGTCTCATGATGGCCTAGGTAGAGTGGCTCAATTTTATTACATAACTTTTCTATCAGGCTGAGCATCAATTTAGTCTTTGCTCATTAACAAAGTTATGCCCACAGCCAGGTTGACACCACCAACCACAGAAGATGAATAATTTTAGAAGCCCATCTGCTATCAATCACAATATGTAATCTATATCTATCTACCTGCCTATTTGTCTGCCTCTCTAGCTACTTATCCATCTATGTATCTATCACCTATCTATCTTTCTGTCTACCCATATCTGTATCTAACTATCATGTCCATCTATCATCTATCTATCTACCAACCTACCTACCCACCTACCTTTGACCTATTATCTATCTCATCTCATCTATCTATCCATTGTATCTATTATCTATTGTCTATCATCTACCTCATCTATCAGCTATCTATTATCTATTTCATCTATCTATCCATCATATCTATTATCAATCAATCAATCAATCAATCTACCTATCTGGATTATCTATCTATCATCTTACCTATCTATTATCTACCTCATTTATATAGTCATCATATCTATCATCTATCTATCTTTCTCTGTCTATATTTCTATCTTTCCATCTACCTATCTAGACTAAACTCTCTGATAAAGTATAAGGAAGTCCTAAAGTTCTGACTTTTATAGTGATGACAACTTTGACACCCTTTCAGTTTCTTTGATTGGTGTGGTGGAGGAGGTGATGTGAGGGGAACAGCAAACACCAAATGCATTTTTAAGCTTCTCTTTTTGTTGGCACTGCTTTGCTGATGACCAAGGAGCAAGCTCAACAGAGTTGTTGAGTAACCCAAGATGGAGCACATCAAAGAGAGTCAGAAGAATCCACTTGTAATAAGGAGGTGGGCGCCCATTCTTACCTGATCAGAATAACAGTCTTTGAAGCATAGTGATAACATGATTGATGTTATTAGATTGCAAACCCAAATTTGGATATTCAGCTGAATATTATTCTCAAGCAAGTGGCTCTCAACTGGAGGTTGACTTGGACCCTAGGGCACACCAGGCAGTCTGGAGGCATTTTTGGTTGTCACTATTTTTGTGATGGGGGGTGCTCCTGCACCAGGTGGGTGGAGACCAAGGATGCTGCCCAACACCCTACAGGGCACAGGACGGCCCAGCACAGAGAGTGGTCCAGCCCCTATGTCAGTAGTGATGAGGCTGAGAAACCTCCTTAAGACGTCATTGACACCCTGTGTATCTATCCTCTCGAAGCTTTCAATACTGCAGGCATTTTTTGGCTTAAACTCTTGGAAATTGATCCCGACCGTGAGGCTGTTTTTCCTCTAGCCTCCCAAGGAAGTAGAACTCACACAGAAACCTCCAAACTGCATCTGGCAATGAATTAACTCAAATTCGAAGCCAAGTAGACACTACAGAGGTAGAGTCAGTTCTCTGCACATCACCTTTGTAGATGCCGTTCCAGCCGCCGGCCTGCGTGCCTCCATCCTGCGCCTCCAGGCGGCCCCCGTGGTCGGAGGTGAAGTAGACCAGCGTGTGATTGGCCAGCAGCTCTCGGTCCAGGGCATCCAGGATCTTCCCTGGAGGAGGAGGAAACACAGCTTTCACCCTTCCGCGTGGACCATTGTTATTCCGTGTGGACTGCCAGGCAGTTACACTTAACAGTACAATTAAATGGTATCTCATTATATATTATAATATTATGTAATAAATCGCTATTATGTAAAACTAATATATATATATATAGCACACATACTATATACTATATAAAATAATATTAAATTCTATATATTCATAATTATTTATTATATATTTGTGATATAATATGTTAATATATGCCATATAATATGCTAATAATATATTATATAATATATAATGATATATAAATATGTAATATATAAATAATATACATAATATAAAAATAATAATATACAAAACTAACAATATAGAATATGTTATATAAATAATCTATATTTACAATATTATATATATAATGCCATATAAATATATTAAACATGTTTAATATAAATACATAAAAAATCATAAACATATGAATAATAAATATAACTGTTATGTAATAAACATAAAAGATGTTTATATTAAAATATGTTCAAATATTTTAAAATACAATTAGAACATTTATTATATTATATTGAAATATATAATATGTACTGGAATATACAATAAATTTATTATTTATATGTAAATATATAATTTATTATAATCCTATATAATTTTGATGATATTGTGAATATTATGTAATTTACATTATATAGAAAATATATAATACACAATAAAATAAAATATTTATAAATATAAAAGTTACAATTTAGTTATATAATAATATCTAATATTATATAATGATTGACAATTATATATTATAAAGTAGTAGCTTATATAACAACTTATTATATAATAGAAATGTATTTTTTATGTAATATGTAATTCTGTTATTTAAAATTTAATATAACATTTTATATTACAGTATTTTCTTATATAATCCATAAAAAATATTTTATTTTGCAAATAATGTAATACTATATAAATTATAATATATAAATACACATGCAGTATATTACAAAGTATGTAATTCTATGGAGTATACAATATCATCATCGCCCACAATGATTCCAACAGCGAATATGAATTAGGCCCAGCAGTTGAAATAAACATGAGCACTAAGAGAAAAAAATAATAGTTGAAAAATGACATCTCCGGGAATAAGCAAGCAAAGTCAACCTTGCTCCAGGGAGCGGCAGCCCCATCCATTAATAGATTGACTGTCCCCTGTCACTCTCTGAAGTCTGCCTCTAAATTGCACGTTATTCTTGCTGTTCGGGTTGCAGTTAAGCATCTGAGAGGAATTAATACTTTGCTAGACTCGGCAAGCATTGTGTTGATAAACCCTTAAGAGGACAAACAGTGCTTGAAACCAAGGAGACAGCTGATCTAGCTGTGTCCCAAACGACGCTGCCTGGATTTCCGCTTCCTGACAGTCACCTGCCCATCCGCTGCGTAGGTCACATCGTGGTCCTACTGTCCAGCACGTCACCCCCTTCCACAAAGATGTAAGACAACGTGACAAGCTGCAAAGAAAACTCCTTGTTTATACGCAAACTCCTGACTTTCTGTTTAATGATTGTTTAAAAGGGATTTGTCTTAGAGGCCACGTTGGCCATTTTTCAGAAATGTTGCACCAGAAATTAAGATTTTCTTTGAAAGCCCAGGGCTTGTAAGAGAACATATTATAATAGCTGCCTGGTAAGAGAAGAATTGGACGTAAATTATCAGTTCTCATTGGAGCTGGCTACTGTATTAACCGTAAGGGTAACTTGTAACTTGTACCAAGTAAATAAAATAGATGCAAATACTTCTTTTGTTTGGAAATATGCATATGTTAATCTCTGTGTATGTAACGTACAAAACACGTGGATGCATGTGTGCATATGTAAATGCACAGGGCAACAGAATAACCCTAAGGTCTCCTACCACACAAAAATACCAGGAAAGAGGTCAAGAATAAAAGGTGGCTGAAAACATTTTTTAAAAGTACACGTTTGCTTAAATAGAAAGTTTAAAATGTTACTGAGCCCCTGAGCATTCAGGAACTTCACATTGCACGTTGATCAGAATGTAACATAGCTGCGGTTTATTGTTGGTGAAGGTTAACAATTTAATAAGCGATCTTGAGTTTCAGAACCATATTGTTAAGTAGGAAGATAATACACACAAGAGGTGCCCCTTTCATTTTTGACATGCCTCTGGGTTTGACATGTTGTTCGTATGAAATGAATGGAAAATAGAGTATTTGGAGGCATCATGCAGAGAAATATTTACTTGTCATTCTCCCATGTCAACAGGAGAATAATTCAGCCTTTACTAAATGCAATTAACAGCTTTTAAAACACATGCGCTTCACGTATGTAAGTAGATTACAGAATGAAGGTAATTTGTTAGGGATAAACACTAGATATAGACCTGGATAAAGATTCCTTTTGCAGAAAACTGTCCTTTGCCTAGAGATACAAAGCAGCAAAGTGATTTATTTCAAAACAAGATTTTCCTGGAGGAGAAGAAACATCAAGCAAAGAAATCACAGCGCTACGATGACACAAAAGTTCCAATGTTAGACCTATTTAGACACACGTGGTGGAAATATAAAAGATGAATGTACCCAAGGACAAGATTCCTCCCCGATGCAAAAGAAACCACTCGTCCTCCAGTCATCCTAACTAGTATCCTAAACTCACCGAGACTGTGATTTACAGACTCAAAACATGTCAGAAATAATGGGGTTTGATTTTTGGACACACTTCAAGTATATTTAAAGGAAGCAAGCTCTATTTCTCTCAGAGGTACTTGGCGTCAATGGACCCAGGCAGCAAAGAATTGGGTTACTATTAGTTTAGGTGGTTCTGATAGCCAGGTTTCAGAAGTCTCCACCAGCAGGAGGAAGAAAAAATTGTACTGTGTTTCAAAAGCCAAACACCTTTGTTGGGATGAAGAAATACTGTGTCGTGTGTCAAGTGGGGGGGGGGGGGGGGAGCGATTAAGTAGCACAATTATTTATTGCATTGACATGGGCATAGTGTCTCCTTCCACCTTCCTGCCCACCAGCCCCTTCTCCTAATTTATTACCCTTAGTCGTGTTTTCTGTATCGATCATGTGACTTTGAAACATGCGGCTTTGATTTTTGTCAATTCCCTCCCACACTTCTAAGAATTTCTTGTAAAGCCAACTAACAAGAACGTTTCCCTTTAAATCCATCAAAATACTGAGGAACGTTGATAATTCTTTACAGAACAACTTTATTAATCTTGCCACTGAGTGTTTCAGGAAAGTGGCGACGTTTATTCGAAAGATGGGGGAACCTGTATTCATAACTTGAGACTGTTTGCTTGGGAAATATTCACGGATTTTACGAAAGGTAGAGTCAGCTTTTAATTTAATTCAATGAGACAAACACTTAGCTGCCCAAGATCGGCAAGGGGCTTATGTTATTCGAGGCAATTAATACAGAATTTCTTTTCTCTAGCCGGTGAATCAGATACTTCAAGTTGTTTTCCTGAACACTTACCCACCATCCAATCCATTTCCTCTACATTATCCCCATACGATCCATATTTACTGTGCCCAACAAACTTCTTCTTGGTGATCAGCGGAGTGTGGACGTGCAGAAACGAGACAAACAGGAGAAAGGGCTCGCGTTTATACCTAAAGAGGGGAAAGTCAGGTGAGATACCTTCACAGATAAAAGTATTTCCCGCACAGGGATACGATTCTGCCTTCATTGAAAGATCTCATACCAGCTGATGGAGGTTTGCCATGTACTTAAACAGCCAACATCACTCGTGTGAGGCATGAGTCCCACAGCCAGACTTAAGCAGAAAGGGTGGAAAGAGGAATGAAGAAGAGCAGAAAATCTTTATCGGCAATAAAATATTCCGTGTAGTCTGACTTTTGATCTCTTGCATCCAGTTTAGCATCTGACATAAAACAGGAGCTTAACAGATCTTTCTCATCTTTGTTGAAGGAACGAATGAATGAAAAACCCATGTGCATTCTCTGCAGCTGTCGTCTGAGTAGGCGCCCTCAGGCACGGGCTTGGAAGAATAGTATCCCAAGCCCAGACACAGATGTATTGCACTGAGCTCTCATGTGCTCCCTAATATCTATTCTCCCTGTGCCCTTTAGTAACACAAGCCCCAACATTTAACTGGACACATGGTTGCCCAGAACGCAGACTCCCTTATATCTATCTAGGAGTGTCCATATGAATAACCACAACCAAGGGAGACAAGGGGCATATAAGTAAAAAGATAGTACGCCCATCCATAGAAAGAGTTCTTCTTCACTTCTTCCATCTTCTCCCTCACACTGCCTGGAACATAAACACGATGGCTGGAGCTTTGTCATCGACTTTGAGCCATGAGGCTACTCACTTTGCAGAACCACAAAGGAGCTAGAGTGTCAATAACAGGAGGCAAATAAACTTCTCTCATTTACAGCTGGGCGGTTGTGTTCTGCATTTTAACGTCACAGGTAGCCATCCTAAACCTATTGCTTCAGAAACTTTTACAATCAGCAATAAGGAGGGCGAAGGGGAGAGAGTCACGTTCTCTCAAAGATAACCCAACCCACGTTGAATTGGGATGGGAGCGACAGGTAGGAAGAACAGGGTTGAATGACGGTCCCACCGTTCTGACCGCTGTGTGGGAGCAAAGAATGAACACGACAGTCACAGAAGCATTTGAGTGAATGAGTTCCCACTGCACATTCATTAACCCCATGAACTTATGCTTTATGATCTTCCGTCCACTCCCCTCCCCCTCCCCCTAAGAGACGAAGGAAACAAGGTCAATGAGCATCCACGCTGACAACTTTCATCTACCTGGAAGTGCTCATCCAGACGTGAGCTGACATGGAAAGATGGGCGATCATTACGCACGTGCCTGTGTGGCTTGTCTTAAACACACAAAACTTAAAACTAGGCATCTAAACAGAGTCACTTCCCAATTGTTCATGGCCAGAGAAGTATTCTCCAGGCTCTCTCGGAGGCAAAGCAAAACCAAGGTTAATCCCAAAGATTCAGTCCATGTAGATACTAATCCACCTTGAAGCAATCTGGACTAAAACATTGTAATTCTGGTTTATAAAAAAAAAAAAAGAGGGGAGAGGAAAATATCTATATATATTTTGCCTTTTCAGCATTCAAAATCTGCAGGAAATTTAACTCTATTTTATTTGTGTAAAGAGAGATTCCAGTATATGGCAAATATCACACACACACACAAAGAGCCAACTCCCCTGAAATAAAAACAAAATTCCCATGCAGGAAATTGGGCCAGAAATGAATTGATCACCTGTCAATAAAGGCGAGCGCCTCCTTCAGCATCAGCGAAGCGACTCTTTCCTCTTTCATCGGCTGCTGGATGATCTCGTGGTTTCTCATCAGGATGCAATTCCAGCGCCGCGTGAACCCATAACTAGAGTACCAGGAGACGAAAAATAAGAAGGCGAGAAGGGCGAAGACGAGAATGACCTTCCAGGGGACCGGGAACCAGCGGGCGAATTTGGGAATGAGAAGCAGGAGGGGGACGAGACCCAAGACCGCCGTGGAGATCCACAGCTTGATCCTGAGCCAGCGGTGCAGTTCCGGAGTCTTGGACGGCTGGCAGTCACTGAAGAGGCCAAAGGGCAGCCCATAGAAGTAGTCAAACCCATGGTTGAGGGGGTGGAAGCAGTGATCGTTCCGAGAGGCACAGCTCAATCCCTGGTGCCATTTTCCTGGAAGGAAAACAACATGGTACCCTGGCAGCACAAGCATCAACGTGTGTCTCGAACGTGGACTTCGCTCAGTCAAAGTGAATTATGACACTTACTGCCTTGCCATGGTGGAATCTTCTTGGTGTCGCCAGTGACCGCCCTGGGAAACGCTGAGGGGGTTCCTCCATGGGCTGCCACCACCTCTTTCTCTACATCCTGCATCTTTCAGACTAAAACTGGGCAGCAGAAACCCCTTGGCTTGCTAGAAGGACAGGAGTCCAGTGCTGCACTCTATTCTGACAATTCGCTTGGTGTCTAACCACCACCTTAACCATTAACATCTTTCCAAGTATCTGGAAGGCATGTCTTGGTTGTTTTGTGTCTACACTGGCTGCAGTGTACTTTGCACATGGGCGTTCTGAGCCAGCGGTGGCTTCTGACCCCACAGAAAGGTAACCAAAATTCGGACCTCCTCCAAGGGCCCCAAGCTGAAGACGATGAACCAGCCAACGGAGTTGCTGATGAGCAGGAGGATTCAGACAATGCCAGCTGTTCCTTTTATTGAGCATTCACCACCAGCGTCAGACACTGTTCTAATTCATTCATACCCATTATAATATTTAATCCTTTCCAGACCCCTGGTCAACAATGGGAAATTCGCTGTCTAGATTGATGAATAAGCTTGAAGTCACATAGTCACGAAGACGCGTTCAGAGTTCCACGGGCCATACCTATGAGTCCAGTGCGGTAGCCACGATGCTGGAGGAGCTTGGCAAAAGTCGTTTCGTTGGTGGGCAGACCGCCTGACCCTCCAAGCCAGATGAGGGCACGGTTCAGGTTGAAGGGAGATGCCATTCCTACATTCAGAGAAGTACCAACAGGTTAGCACCACCGTCCATCTTTTCTTGACAGTCCCTACTAAGTCCAATGTTTCCTCCTGGGGTCCTTGAAATTTCTCCTCCTGCACCTCCACTATTCTGGTCTTTTTCAGATTTTCTATTGCCTTTCTGTCTGTACCTCCTCAGCTCTCCTCCTCCCGCTTGTCAAAGGCAGATGTTCTCTTAGGATTAGAAATGCAAGAAAACACAGGATGCCCCATCACATTGGAATTTCACATTAACAATGAATAATTTTCCAGACACGCCCCCAAATATTGCACAGGGCAAACTGTTACTAAAGACGTATTTGTTCATTGTTCCAAAATTCAAATTTAACTGGACGTCTTACTCTGGATGACATCCTTGGACCTCAGTTCTGAACATCAGTACCATCTTTCTACGTGGTGAAAAACCCACATCTCTATGTCTTCTCCAGACCCCTCTTCTGAAGTTCAGGTCCTGTCTTCAGCTGCCCACTGGGCATCTATATATTTAGGAATCCCCGCCTTAGCATGTCCAACACAGACCCCATTATCTTCCTCCTTCCAAACTGCCTCAGTAAAGGCCAGCATGATCCCCCATTCCTCTAAGCCAGAAATGCAAGAGCTCCTTTTGAGTCCTCCTTCTGACTCAGCCTCACCTCTCGTATCCAATCCATTGGCGAGTCCTGACCACCCTACCTTGGTCAACAGTCTGACATTTATCTCCGATGCCATCACTTTGGAGCAGAGCTTCCACTGGGTTGTGGCGTCCCCCAGCTGATCTCCCTTCCCCCAGACTCAACCACTCTCAGAAGGAACCCTCCAATCCGTGTCCCTCCCCAGTCGAACCTCATTAATGGCCATCCAACACCTGCTGTTGAAATCCAAACTCTTGCTATAGCTTATAGTCCTTCATAATATGAGACGTCCGACGGTAAGTGTGGCTACCTCGTTCTCCTCACCCACTCACAGATGCCCACATTGTCTTTGCCGTTTCCTCTGCTGACCACACCCTTCCTCCTGACTCCTTCTATTTCAAGGAACATCTTCTAGGGTGACTTTCCTGGGATGCTTTAGGGGCCCCTATGGGCTCCCATGGCTCCCTGAGATTCTGAATTGCAACTATAGTCTGCATCTCAGCCACTAGACCACGTGCACCTTGATGTGTCTATGTTCAATTTATGGTCCAACTACCAAGCATGCCCTTGGGGTCGGCCCAGTCGCCAAATGGCTAAAGTTCCTCATACTCTGCTTCAGTGGCTGGGGTTTGTGGGTTCAGATCTGAGGTGTGGACCTACTCCGTTTGTCAGCCATGCTGTGGTGGCATCCCACATACAAAATGGAGAAGGATTGGCACAGATGTTAGCTCAGGGTGAATCTTCCTCACCAAAAAAAAAAAAAAAAAAAAGGGGTGCCCTTTACCAAATCCTAAAAGGCAAAAGCATACTTATAATTTTCAAGAAAAGGGGCTATACCTCCTAATTCAATGTAAATACATGTATACATGTTAAATATGGTTATGTATAAAATTTTTATGGGTATCATCCACTTGGTACAAAATTCGAAAGATGAAAGAGATGAAGTGTTCAAAATCTCCCTCCTGCCCTTGGACCCAGTCCCCGTAGCTCCCCTCCCAGAGGTAGCCAACATTACCAGCTGCTCCTGTGTTTCCAGAAATATCCTAGGCAGGAACAAAAGGAGACTGTCTCCCTTTTCCTTCATGATTGTGCATACTCTCCACTCTTGTTTTGCAGATTGCTTCTTTCCCTCAACAAGAATACTTTGGAGAACGCACGTGGTCATTACATAAAAAGCTTTGCCTGTCATTGTAAAGATGCCTAGGGTTCCATTTTACTAGCACACTATCATTTATTCATCACTTTCTATTGAAAAACGTTTTATTTCCCCAGTCTTTTCACACCAGATAAGTTTATAAGGAGCAGCATCGTTCTATGCATCATTTTGGACATTTGGAACTAGGACTGATAAACTTCTAGAAAATGGAGTTGCTGACTCAAAGTTTCAATGCCAAAATCCCTGTAAAGGTTCCACCAATTCCACCTTCACTCCATCAACACGCAGGAGCACCTGCCTCCCCACAGCCTCCTCGAGCAAGTAAATATTAAAGAGTTTGATTTTTGCCAATGGCAACAGTTAAACCTGACATCTAAAGAGTTTTCATTGGCATTTCTCCTACCAGGACAGGTTGAGAATATGTCCCTTTGTTCAAACACACCGTTTTTTTTTTTTTTTTTGTAAACCGATACTTTTTCTAAACAGGTTCACCTGAGCTTAAGGACCAGCGATATTTGCGACTTCTACATCAAAAAAGGAATAAATTTTATATGAATATGTTGGGGTGGGTAAGGTTAATGGGAAGCCCTGTCAGATTCCATGTAGCTGTCATCGTTCCATCAACTGTAGACCTCGTGTCTCCCACAACTCACTAGGCAGAGAGGAGAGTTTATAAGAAGCGGTTTCTGCAGGACAGGAAATCACCTCCCGGTCGGTGCAGGAGGCTACGTCAGTTCTGTGACCCACGTAAGGGGGAGAATGAGAGGATGAAGGTGTGACAATTCCCTTTCCATATTCTTTTCCGTGGGTTTATTATGCTAGGGGTGTTAATGAAGCTGTAGTTTAAAAGGAACTCACAGGAAAACCACAAGCGAGGGATTCGAGCATTTAAGATGGATACATAAAGGATCATTTCAAGGGTCCTAGCCTAGAACAGGAAGAAGTCAGATAAGATAGTCATCAATGGGAAAGGGGATCTGTTTACCTAAGGGACGTGTTAGAATATTATCTTGGTATTGAGTCTCTTTTTTTTACCGGAATTTTTTGAGAAGTAGGAAGAATTAAAGAATAATTTGTGTCCAAAAAATGGCAACGATTTGACTGACAACTCCTTCAGTCACTTAACTGTTTTGCCTAATTTTGTTAAGTAAAATTTTCCACCTAATCAATATTTAGAATTTCCTGAAATTATAATCAATCTTTTGCCAACTCACACTGACGCGTATCTTGACTCCAAGTTCACACACAGTAATGTGTCATTTAGAGACATTCTACATGGCAATCAAACTATTTCCAACAAAAATGAGAACCTTGGATTATGAAAAAAGTCCTTTGAGCAACAAAGATAAATGGCGATATATTGATGTTCACCAGACAGTAACTTTCAACGTTTATTGACTCTCCATTTTCACGTCATTCAAAGTAACCCGATGAGTTCATCCCTCAGAGGTTATCAGATAAGAAGCTACCATCTAGAAGGGAGGAAAGTCATGGAGAATAAGCTATCATTGAAAAATAAACCTCAAGGATGGATATATGAAAACTGTGACAAGCAGATGCTACATTTAACTAAAACACAATAGTCTGAGGCAATTGCATGTGGAGTCCAGTAACTCAACACCTCAGTGGATGCCATGGGAAAAACTTGTGTTTTTGCTGGGTATAAAAATCAATATTCATAGGGTTGATTCCACGTTGACATCCATAATGTCCATTGTAAGGTAAGCTACAAAGGAAAATAGTAAATTGTCATCATTACTCCCAACTTGGTAAGCCTACAAGTTGACGCTGTGTGTGTGCAAGTGTATGCACACGTGTGTGTATGCGAGAATAAGTACAACTCGAATTCTTTTCCATTTTTGCAGCCATGCGTTCTCCTCAGTTGTTTCTGGTGCTTTCCCAACCTCATCTCCAGAGACTGGACAGACCCAGTTTTCTGCAATGATTGCATGGTCTCTGCTCACTCTAAGAGACGAGGAGCCTGTTGAGGGCTCTTACCACAAATACCTGGAAATGGGAGCATTTAGAGTAGCCTGGAAATCGGTCACCACAGGTCCAAACTCTGTCACCACAGGTGAGCAAGTCTGGTGGCACCTGGCAAGAGACACACCTGTTTAAGGTGTCCAGGTACAACAACACAACCTGTATTTGAATTTAGATTCTTAATACCTTGAGCCACCTTTTGAGTGTTGCTATGAAGAAGTTGCAAAAGTCAGTCACAAGAAAGCATCGTCGAGAGACAAAAATGCTGTTACGTGACACTGCCCCCACCTGATCTGATGGGGTACCGGCCCGTCAGGAAGGCAGCCCGACTCGGGGTGCAAACGGAGGCGGCCGCCAGGTGCTGGGTGAGCCTCACTCCCTCACTTGCCAGGCGGTCGATGTTGGGTGTGCTGCAGGCAGAAGGAGAAGTCGGCATGCGAGTTTCTAATTCCCAAACAAATGCACAAGATCCAAAGCCATTCTGCTTTGGGTTGAGACGACTCTGTTTCCAGTAAACCGAAAATACACCCTTTTTACCTACTTACATGCAGCTATGGTTAGACGCAAAGGGAAAGCAGAATGTGAAATAATGTATCTTCAGGTAAAATGATTACAAACGAATATGAATCACCAGATCTAATTAAAGCATTACCAGTCTGAGTTCATGTGCATTTCAATGGCAAAGCCAGTCGATTTGATCATTTCACATTCCTACAATTAATGGGTAACTTAGGTGAAATAAAAGGTTAATGCATTTCTTGCGGCAAAATCTCTCTTTTTTAAACCAAACTGCGGCATTTTGGAGTTTATTTCCCATTTTCTTTAAGAAGAGGAGATGAGGAGACAGACACGCACAGAGGGAGGACCACGTGAGGACACGGGGAGAAGACACGTCCACACGCCAAGGAGAGAGGCCTCAGGAGGAACCAGCCCTGACCACACGTGGATCTCAGACATCCAGCCTCCAGGACGGGGAGAGATAAACGTCAGCTGTGGAAAACCCCCAGTCTGGGATGCTTTATTATGACAGTCTGAGCAAACTCAGACGTCATATGATTCCATTCACATGAAATGTCCAGAACAGGCAAATCCACAGAGACAGAAAGCAGGTGAATAGCTTCCGGGGGCTGGAAGTGCGGAGAATAGGGAGTGACTGTTAACGGGTTCCGGGTTGCCTTTTGGGGTGAGGAGAAAGTTCTGGAACTAGGCAGAGGTGATGGCTGTAGAACATTGTGGATTCACCAGATGCCTCTGAACTGCTAACTATAAATTCGTTAAAAAGGTGAATTTTGACCGCAACAAAAACAACTACAGGCTAAGGAGACCGGGATGCCAAATGCCGTCCTGACATTGGGGCAGCTTCCCAAGGGCCACCTCTGCTGTCCGGGTTGAGAGCTGAGACTGGGGGTGGTCAAGGGCAGAGACGTGGCTGGCGGGGCCGGGGCGCCACCATCCGCAGGCAGGAGGGGTGTGTTTACCTCACGGTGTCATTACCATAGCAGCATACATCTCCCACCCCAAGGTCGTCCGCCATCAACAGGACAATATTGGGCCTGGAGTTCCTCGTCACGAACGTCCCATTGAGGCCCCCAAACAAACACCACAGTGACACCGACAGCCAGCAGTTCCTGAAAGTATTTTGGGGGAAAAAAAATAACCACCAAAAACCCAGAAACTGTCAATTCACATTTGCATTTTAGCCAACTTAACATAGGAAATAATAGTATCCTTGATCATTTTTCACTATGCAGTGTACCTGAGCTGGGGGTTTTCTGGTAAAAATTTTTTTGTAAAAATTCACGTGTTATGTTAATATGGTGTAACGTACAAATTAATTTTGCACGCACGGTGATATTAAATTCGCTTAAGTTTTTGAACTGCCTTAGAGACACGGGGCCCTTAAAAAAAATAACAGTGGTGAAAGTTGAGTGTAAGGTCTAGTAATTTGATTTCTTTGCATAAAAATGTAGACAAAAAGTGGAAAATTGGAGCAAATAGCTAGCTAGTCAAGCTGGATTTTTTTTTTAATGATCAGTTGTGCATTTTAAATACATTATATAGTTCATAATTTTGCTCTGAGCCAAACCGAGGAAAAGTGCCAGCAGGGACTGTAGTAACATCTTGGGTCTGAGCCCAGGAGTAGATGAGGATAAACCAAAATCCTAGGGTGGATTTCACCGGTGCACACAAAGAAATTCCTCCTTTTCTTCATGAAGAAAATATGTCCACAAACACATTGTGGGCGACGCTCAACTGTTCCCCCCCAAAATACTAAAAATTCTGAAAAATGGAATTTAACATATTTATATATTCTACTAAATTTTAGCGTGCACAATCATCCGTATGAAACCGCGAAATGCTATACTACGTTGAAAACAATGCACGACGGTCCTTGATCAGAGACGATTACAAGTCAAGGATCATTCTGCTACGCAGGGCACTGGTACCCCAACCGAAAATTCCACCCAACGTGACTTTGACCCTTGTGTAGCCCCATCTCTGGAACACCCTGCTTTTCGCCCTATGAACTCCTACACGTGCCATCATTCCTAAGTAAGCATCGCTTCCTCAGAAAAGCCATTGCATACGACTCCATCAACCCATGGCCCCTCACCACCCTCCTCATTACCTTTAACCCGTCTGCAGTAGGATCAAGCAGACCAAACATCTACGGGGATGGAGACGACCTGAACAAACCCTTCTCTCTAGATGTAGTGAATTATGACGCTTTATGAATTTGCCTACTTACCAGTCATAGAACGGCTGTTTCATGGCTCCTTATTCTGTTACCTAGGGAAGAAAAGCGTACATTAAGCACATCGGCAAAGCAGCTATTTTTCTCAGAGCACACGGCTCATGGTCCAAAGTGCTAACGAGCCTGTTTTATGTTGACCCACTAAATTCTTTACACCTAATTGCATGCACACAAGTATGTCCGGAGAGAAGGTGGCAAGAGAGCGTGCGTGATCTACTCATGTCGGGATAGTTCTTATGGCACGTTTCCAACCAACGATGTTGACCCAGCCACACAAAACTCTTCATTCCAGAGTCACTAAAATAAGTCAGTCACCAATGAATGGGCACCCATCCCATAGCTGTATCAGGCCTACTGTACATATGGTCCTCTACACATGGTGCTTAACCGAAACCTTCTATCTTAATAGACACCATGGTGAACAGCAAGAACCTATGGTCATGACAGCCAAACTTGTCTGGCAAGGGAGGGCATGTTCCACAGCCGTAATTATGATTTTTTTTCTAGGAAATCTATGTTTATTAGAGACATGCTATTTTTTTGTTTATTTTATTGAGGTCACATTGGCTTATAACGTTGTGTATGTTTCAGGAATACACTATTATATTTGAGTTTTTGTAGAGACTGCCTCGTGCTCACCACCAATAGTCTAGTTTTTAACTGTCACCATACATATGTGCTACTTTATCCCTTTTGCGCTTCCCCCACTCCCTTCCCCTCTGGTAACCAGTAATCTATTCTCCTTAACTATGTGTTTGTTTATCTTCCACATGTGAGTGAAATCATACAGTATTTGTCTGTCTCTGTCTGACATTTTACTTAACATAATACCCTCAAGGTCCACCCATGTTGCTGAAAACGGCACCATTTTGTCTTTTTTAGGGCTGAGTAGTACTCCATTGTGCATATATACCACATCTGCTTTATCCTTTCATCCGTTGATGGGCACTTGGGTTGCTTCCACATCTTGCCTATTGTGAATAATGCTGTGATGAACATAGGGGTGCATAAGTCCTTTTGAATTGTTGATTTCATGTCCTTTGATTAATAACCCAGCGGTAGAATAGCTGGATCGTATGGTATTTTCTATTTTCAGATTTTGAAAGAAACCTCCATACTGTTTTCCACAGTGGCTGCACCAGTTTGCATTCCCACCAGCAGGGTATGCGGGTTCCCTTTTCTCCACATCCTCTCCGACATTTGTTCTTTTTTGTCTTGGTAATTACAGCCATTCTGACAGGTGTAAGGTGATATCTCATCACAGTTTTGATTTGCATTTCCCTGATGATTAGTGCTGTGGAACACCTTTTCCTGTGCCTGTTGGCCATCTGTATATCTTCTTTGGAAAAGTGTCTGCTCACGTCCTCAGCCCATTTTTTGATTGGGTTGTCTGTTTTTTTGTTGTTGAGTTGTATGAGTTCTTTATATATTTTGGAAATTAACCCCTTGTTGGATAGGTAATTTGCAAATATTTTTTTGCCACTGATGAATTGTCTTTTCCTTTTTATGACCTTTTATAACAGTCCAAAAAGTAGCACAGTCTGGTGTCCCCCTGCCTAGGACCCTCAAATTGCTCTAAATCAGTGAGGTTTTGTAGGCTCCCCACAAGACAAATGATATATAATAAAGATTAATGACATCGCCATACAATTTATAGGGCTTTCTCATTCCCAGGGCATTTCCACACACAAACGTTCCCACTGGATCCTCAAAATATCTCACCTTGCTTGCCTCAAAGGGTTAATGACAGCTCTCCCGTTTTATGGGAGAGGGAGCTGGCGATCACAGAATTTAAAACACTTTCACAGGCTGGTAGATTGAAGATCTGGGATTCAAGATGAAGTCTCTGACCCTCAGTCATGTGTGTGTGTGTGTGTGTGTGTGTGCGCGCCCAATTTCCAGGGCCATCTTCTTTTCTTAGACCTCCAGTAAGGCTCTCAAATGTGCCAACTCCAGATGCTCACTTCCTGGGGGACATTTGATGAAGCCCACATCCCACCTTTGGGTGGTGGCCCATTCTCTCTGCCCCACAGTCAACACTTCTGCATTTGATTTGATTCCACGATGACATCCTGAGTAGCCATATCTATTTTTCATGTCTCCAACTCCACTGCCTAACACATTCCATGGCCTTCCAGTAAATGCACAAATCCTCAGGAATCGAGCATTTCCCAAGAGCCGGGTGAGTGAGGCAAGTAAGAAAGGTGCTTTTTTATCCACTAATCATAGCTGTTTCCACCCTAATTTCGTAAGTCTCTCTCCAACCCAAGATTGGCAAGAGTCACAACGGATGGTCCCAGCCATCCGTTTGCCTCAAAGTATTGTATTTATCAATTCCAGATTTTAAGGACTATCAAGGTCCTTCCTACCAGGGAGCTCCTCCAGACCCATCTTCAGTCCCGCCCCCATTCCTTCTCATTGGTCCGGCATATTTGACCTTCTGGAGACACAGTGATGCATCGTTTAATGACGGGGGTATGCTCTGAGAAATGGGTCACTAGGCAATTTTGTTGTTGTGTGAAGATCACAGAGTGTATTTACACAAACGTAGATGGTATAGCCTCCTACACACCTAGAGTAAATGGTAGTAATCTACGGGACCACCATCGTTTACTCCATGTATCGTTGACCCAAACGCCATGATGCTTCGCATGACTGTATACGAATGCGTGAGGCTGGCATCATACGCAAATGTGGTTTTACAAATTGGTTTTATTTTCCAGCTGTCTTTAAATAGGTGCTCCAAATCACCTGCTTAGTCAGGAAGCAGCCCTCAGAAAACTCTAAGAAAGACCAGGAAACTCATCAGCCGATACAAGAATTATATCCCCAAGTGGGTGAAACATTGCCGTGCAAATGCTCACACAGATGGTGCTTGTGCCACATCCCCTCAGAGACAGAGTCAAAATTATGGTGCCCTTGGATGGTGGAGTGGACCTTGCGAAATGATGTGGAAAAAATGTAGCTATGTGAGGTGACGGATGCGTTAACTAACCTTATTGTGGTAATCATTTTGTGACATATACATATGTCCAATTGTCACATTGTACAGCCTAAACTTACACAATGTTATATGGCAAGTCTATCTCAATAAAGCTGCAAAAAAAACTTAAAAAAATAGTGCATATTTTAATGTTTTCATCTTTAGAGATTAACTCCCAATGATGCAGAAGTAGCAAAATTTATCAGTCATGGACACCTTAGTGAGACAGAGGCTGTTGAATATAGTCATGCAGCACATAATGATGCTTCAGTCAACAGCAGACCACATCTACGATGGTGGTCCTATAGGATTGGCACCATGTAGCCTAGACGTGGAGTAGACTATATCATCTGGGTTTGCGTAAGTACATGCTATGATGTTCGCACAACGACAGGATCAGCTAACAACACATTGCTCAGAATGTGTCCCCATCGTTAAGTGAGGCATGACTGCACTTATACTGAGGAACCTGTGAATGTGGGTTTATTTGGAAGCAGGGTCTTTGCAGGTGTGATGAAGGGAAGGATGGAGAGGAGGGCTTCCTGGAGGAGGCGGCCCTGAATCAAGGATGGAGAGGAGGGCTTCCTGGAGGAGGCGGCCCTAAGAATCCAGGATGGAGAGGAGGGCTTCCTGGAGGAGGCGGCCCTGAATCCAGTGACAGCGTCCTCCTCAGAGACAGAAGAGGAGACGCAGACGCAGAGGAGCAGCCCCGTGAGGACGGAGGCAGAGACGGGAGGGAGGCGGCCACCAGCCCAGGGACCCTGGAGCCCCGGACGCTGGAAGAGGCAGGAGGGACCCTCCCCTGGAGCCTCCAGAGGGAGAGCGGCCCTGCGACGCCCCTTCATCTCAGACTCTCGGTCTCCAGCACTGGGAAAGGATGAATTCCTGTGGTTTTAAGCTCCCAATTTATGGTAATTTGTTACAGCTGCCCCAGGAAACAAATATAAGTAATTTAAAAAACCTTCTACATAACAAGAGATCCTATCAGCAAAGCAAAACATAGGCATGCTCAAGGAAGGAGAAAACTATCTGCAATATTTTCAATAAATAAATTAGAAAAGGAAGAAAAATCCAACAGAAAAATTAGACATAGGACATCAATTGGCAATTCACAGAAGTCACAAAAATGATGGATAAGCACATAAAAATCTGCTCAGCCTCCTCAGCAACCAGAAAAAGGTAAATTTTAAGGACAATGGAGCATTTGTACTCGTTCCCCCGAGACAGACACCAGCCTCGGGGTGGGGCTGGGGGGGCGAAAAGGCAAGAGAGAGGATGCTTGTTGCAACGTTGTTTTTAAATAGAGACAAATAGAAACCAACTGACAAGCCCGTTCTAAAGAGGAATGGCTTCAATAAACTGGGATATATTCGTACTGCAGAATTCTGTGCTATCCCCTTTAAAATAAGGAGAATGCACTCCTTGATGCCCTGGGTCTCTTTGATGGTAGAGCCGTGTAATTCCGTAATGCATGCCCCGACGGAAGCTGAAACCCAAACGGTGATTACTTTTACGGGACCTTTCATCCAAGGTGTAGTCAAGCTACCCGGGCCGTGTCTCCTTCAGCTTTGCCACTTCTCCATGAGGAAGGACGGCTAATAATATCACCAGCCCCACTTTTCCGTGGATAAAATGGGCTTCCGGAGCGGGGTGTAGCTTCCAGTCAAACTAATAAATCCAAACACAACCTCTCCATTAATTAAAATATCCATTAACTAAGATATTCATACACTACAATACGGTAGCCATGAAAACCAGTCTCGGAAGTTCTCCCAACAAGAGAGAACTCCTTCCTTCCCTTACTCACCTGAAAATGTGCAATTATATACGAACCCACAGTCTACTTGCAGAGCGGATGCCGAAAAATGGCTTCGGGCCCAGTGTGACCCCCAAGTTATCTTGATGGAAATGGTCAGCCTTCAGATGAGTGAGTCTAAGACATAATTACAACCCAGGGAAAATTCAGCAAAACTCAGCATTTCATACCTTATATAAATGCTTTCTTTTTCCCAAAGATTAGCCCCTGAGCTAACATCTGCTGCCAATCTGCTT